CACTTCTCATGAAGTAGAACCTTGTCATCGACAGCCTTTTTAAGCCAAACACCTTCACCCACCATGTGCATGCCAGTCAGTCCTTCCTTCCTCCATTCCTAGAAAAAGCTTCTCTCCTCTCTGCCTACACCCTCTCTGCCTCTCTCTCTCTCTCTCTCTCTCTCCCTCCCTCTCCCTCTCTCTCTCTCAGCATCCTCATCTCCTCCTCCTACTCAAACATTCTAACTTTTTCTCAACTCCCCATTCCCTAGAACCTTGTTATCATACCTAATAATATGGAATCAAGTTCTTGACACTTCAAACACTTTGTACAAAACCCACCTCCTAAATCTCTCTCTCTCTCTCACATCTGAAAGTTTTTTTCAAGATGAAGAAGAAAACCCATGCTGGGTTCAAGTTTTTGGCCATTTTGCTTGCTGGGTTTTCATCGTTCTTGCTGTGTGCCAACTCCCAATCGAGTTCAAGCAACGATGCTGCAGTAATGCTGGCTCTGAAGAAAACCCTTAATCCATCTGAATCTCTCGGATGGTCCGACCCGGACCCCTGCACATGGACCCATGTGGGCTGCTCGGACGACAAGAGGGTGACCAGGATCCAACTGGGTCACCTCAATATAGAAGGTACGCTTCCTCCAAGCCTCCAAAACCTCACTCAACTCGAGCGCTTAGAGCTTCAATGGAACAAAATTACTGGTCCTCTTCCGAGCCTTAGTGGGTTAAGTGCATTGCAAGTTCTAATGCTCAGCAACAATTTGTTTACTTCAATTCCTGGTGATTTTTTCTCTGGTATGACTTCCCTTCAATCTGTTCAGATTGATAACAACCCTTTTATGAGTTGGGAAATTCCTGAAACTCTCAAGAGTGCAGCATCAATTCAAAACTTTTCGGCCAATTCGGCCAACATTACCGGAAAAATACCCCATTTTTTCGGTGGAGATGGGTTTCCGAGTCTGGTTAACTTGCACTTGGCCTTCAATGGCCTCCAAGGAGAACTGCCCGCGAGCTTTTCCGGGTTGCAAATTCAGTCTTTGTGGCTTAATGGGCAAGAAAGTGTAGGTAAGCTTGGTGGAAGCATTGCTGTGTTACAGAACATGACTCTGTTGAAAGAGGTTTGGCTGCATTCGAACGCGTTTTCAGGTCCATTACCGGACTTTTCGGGTTTGACCGACTTGCGGAGCTTGAGTTTGAGAGATAATTTGTTTACTGGACCTGTTCCAGTGTCATTGGTGAGCCTTAAGTCACTAGAGGCTGTGAATTTGACAAACAATTTGCTTCAAGGACCAATGCCGGCTTTTGTTCCGGGGGTTGCGGTAGATTTGGTTAAGGGTTCTAATAACTTTTGCCTACCGAGTCCTGGTGAATGTGACCCTCGAGTGAATACGTTGCTTTCAATTGTGAGTTCAGTGGGTTACCCCCAAAGGTTTGCAGAGAATTGGAAGGGGAATAATCCCTGTGCAGATTGGATTGGGGTTACTTGTAATACTGGGAACATTACGGTCCTCAATTTTCAGAAAATGGGTCTTGCTGGAACGATTTCTCCCGAAATCGCGTCTTTGAAGTCCCTGCAAAGAGTAGTTCTTGCTGATAACAATTTAACTGGAACGATTCCAGCGGAGCTTGCCACGCTGCCTGCACTCACGGTATTTGATGTGTCAAACAATAACCTCTATGGGAAAACCCCAGCTTTTAAGGATAAGGTGCTTGTAATGTTTGGTAACCCTGATATAGGGAAGAAAAAGAGTACTTCAGCTGGACCGTCTCAAGATTCCACCAACCCTTCTACAAGTGTAGGTTCTGGAAACAGTTCTAGACCTCATGGAAAGAAATCTTCAACTCTAATAGGAGTCATTGTGTTCTCTGTAATCGGGGGTGTTTTTGTGATTTTATTAATTGTGCTGTTGCTTATCTGTGTATATAGAACAAAACAAAAGCAGTTGAGTAGAGTTCAGAGCCCGAATGAAATGGTAGTTCATCCCCGCCACTCTGGATCGGATAATGAGAGCATGAAGATAACTGTTGCAGGCGCTAGTGTTAGTGTTGGTGCACTGAGTGAAGCTCATACTCTTCCCAGCAGTGAGCCCAATGAAATCCAAATGGTTGAGGCAGGAAACATGGTGATTTCTATTCAAGTGCTCCGGAATGTGACAAACAATTTCAGTCAGGAAAATATATTGGGGCAAGGAGGTTTTGGGACAGTGTATAAAGGGGAACTGCACGACGGAACAAAGATTGCTGTTAAGAGAATGGAGGCTGGCGTAATAGTAGGAAAGGGTCTTTCCGAATTTAAGTCTGAGATTTCTGTTTTGACGAAGGTTCGTCACAGGCATCTCGTAGCTCTTCTGGGGTATTGTTTGGATGGAAATGAACGGCTTCTTGTATATGAGTATATGCCTCAAGGGACGCTCAGCCGGTACATCTTCAACTGGCCAGAAGAAGGACTGAAACCACTGGAATGGACGAGACGGCTCACAATTGCCTTAGATGTAGCAAGGGGTGTTGAGTATCTCCATGGTTTGGCCCATCAGAGTTTTATACATAGGGACTTAAAGCCTTCAAATATTCTTCTTGGAGATGATATGAGAGCTAAGGTCGCAGATTTCGGTCTTGTGCGGCTTGCTCCAGAGGGTAAAGGTTCAATTGAAACAAGGATTGCAGGGACTTTTGGATACCTGGCACCAGAATATGCAGGTAATTCTTGTTTCTGTTTACTTATGCTTAATTTTTTGCTATAAGATTCTTCTAAAACCAGGCCAACTTTCAAATTTATTTACTTCAATAAAAATAGAAAATAAAACATGAGAGTGATATCAGGTCCGTTTGAGTACCCGATAGTGCACGCGAAATAGAAACAACTTGCATAATATATTAATATGGCATCACCCAGATGCAACCTTAGTCCTTTGCCTCCATTTCCTGAGATTTTTGTAAACGTTCAGGAAACCAGTTTAAGGAAAACGGTAGCTACTGGCTCTTAATTTTTGGTTCCAAACTAGAGAGCCTTTATTTTAATTTCATATCTCTGCTTTACGTATGATTTTCTTACAATTTATCAGAATTTTATGAATGATTCAGTAAATATGGACTATGTGCGGATCTAAAAATGTATTAAACATGTTTATTATTTTATATTTTATCTCTTAATTTCTAGTTGGATGTGTTGTTCACCAAAAAATAAATAAACTTTTGTAATCCACACTGCACTTGGATTATGTTAAATCAATCTTTAATAGAGGAGAGATCTCAACGATTCAATTTTCCGTTGTGTTACAAATGTATCCATTATTGTATTCCATTATGATCAAGGTTGGACGCTCTCATGAGTCATGACTGCCATTCTTAAGAAAGCAGATTAGAAATGTGGAGTCATGATTTTCTTGGGAGTTTGTTGGGTGGTTACAGGAAAAAGAAACGCACCAGAATGATGACTATTCCCTAAATTTCACCAAATTGCATGTTCAATAATCATCTTAGCGCATCTTCTCTTCTCTGCCAGCTGTGTATTTCACCTTTTTCGGATATTATTAAGCCATTTTCCTTGCTGTTTGTAATAACAGAATGGTAGAATATTTTGCTTATTGGATTGTTCTCATTGGAAATCTCCATTATATTAGTTGTTCCCAGCTGTTTTTGCCCTTTTGGACCTTAAAGCAGTCGATTCTTTGAACCCACTTTAGTATTTTTGTTTTTCGGTTCTTTCCTTTATTAGGTCAGCTGATCCCACTTACCAAGCTTTACAACAAAGCTAAGTACTGCCTTTCTTCTTGTGGTTCTGCAATTTATAATGTCGTAGATGTTTTGCTTTTCAGTAGTTCGTTTTATTTTTCGTTTAAGAGTAAATATGGTAGATTCTGGTTAATGGTTGGTAGTCGGTATTGATACTGATCGTAAACAAAACATTTGTGATACTTGCAGTTACTGGCCGCGTGACAACTAAAGTAGATGTGTTCAGTTTTGGAGTGATTTTGATGGAGCTAATCACCGGGAGAAAGGCACTTGATGACAGCCAGCCTGAGGAGAGCATGCACTTAGTAACTTGGTTCCGGAGAACGTTCATCAACAAGGACTCATTCAGCAAGGCGATTGATCCCACAATTGATCTCAATGAGGAAACACTTGCCAGTGTGAGTACTGTAGCCGAGTTAGCAGGTCATTGCTGTGCAAGAGAGCCGTATCAAAGGCCCGACATGGGCCACACTGTGAATGTCTTATCGACTCTGGTGGAGCTTTGGAAACCAACTGATCAAAGTTCTGAAGATATATATGGTATAGACCTTGAAATGTCATTGCCGCAAGCACTTAAGAAGTGGCAGGCTTTTGAAGGTAGAAGCAATTTGGAATCCTCTTCTTCATCGCTTCCTCCCAGCTTGGATAACACTCAGACGAGCATCCCTACGCGCCCTTATGGATTTGCTGAGTCTTTCACATCTGCAGATGGGAGATAATGATTAACTGTAAATTATTGTAACGATTGGTTTGGTATGTTTATTCTGGTTGATTCTTACCTTGCAGGTTTCTGTGTACAATTTGTTCAAACTTTCATGCTTTATCCTTCCCCCCTTGCTCTGATGTTATCGGATGTTATCAGTTGTTTTATAGGTTTTGTGAATGAAATGGGAACAGGTTCTTCACTCTCAAGAATGAATGTCTCATTTCTTTTTATTCTGAGTGATAATTTAATAGAATGAGGATCCTCTTTATGAGCATCCAAGAGATCCTTTAATCGTGTCAGTTCATTATATATCATGCGATCAGAAATCATTTAAAATTAAATACAAGTAGTACCTGATGAAAATTAACCGCATGATTTGCGATGAACGGACACGATTAAAGGATCTCTTGGATCCTCACAAAGAGGATCCGGAGAGGATCCCCATTCATTTTAATATACTCTTTATTACAACTTACTGGTGAAAAGGATTCAAACTCGTGTGCGTATAAGGAGCAACTGTTTTAGTCAATTTGGCTACGCTAATTAGATCCAAAAACAATACACACATCACAGAATGAATGTTTGTTCCAGGTTTCGACCTGATATATAATTGAATAATTGAATGGTATTTTGCTTTACAAATCTCTATTTGTACAAAAAGAATTTCGAACACAATATAATATAAAGAACAAAAAATGTAATTTCTTTTCTCTCTAACTCAAAGATGGCCTCTTGAGGTACTTGAAATTCATGGATGAATCCACACAGTCCAATTTACTCATGTGCAGATTGAACAATTTCAGCAGATCAGTAACCTTATCCTTCATTCCATCACAAACCCCGACCTGCAAGAGCACCAAGAGCTTCTGAAACGCGCCCACTTGAAGCGCCTCAATCAAAAAGCTTTCCTGGGTTTCAATTGTGCACAGCTTCCAGATTATAGACACCGAAAACTCCGTCCCCAACTCTGAAATCCTCAAAATCTTCTTCACCAAAAGAGGTATTGTGAGAGCATTCTCGAGGGCCACTTCTCTCCCTTGTTTGCAATCACAGAGACCATCCAAAACCCCCAAAGCTGTCTCTGAAACGCTTTTCTCTGCGTCAACAAGAGTTTCTAGTAGCAAAGAAACCAAACCCAATTCCACAAATCTTGATCTGTATTTATCACTGGTTTCTGCGGATGGCAGTGATGAAATCATGAAAAGAACACAAGCCAGAGCAGCCTTAGTCACTTGAGGACAAATAGGCTCTCCAATGATCCCAAAAATCGCTTCAACGCCTCCTTCAATCTTCCCGAAAGCATCCACATATTTTTGATCCAAAGAAAATAACTTTCTAAGTACCAAAACCGTGTTTTGCCGTGCTGTTAGATCTTTGCCTTCTAGAAACGACATGAAAGATCGCAAACACACTGAAGATCCAAGCTTCGATTGGTCTTCTTCACCCAATGGAAACATCCACGGTAGCACAGTTAAAATTTCCACCAATATCTCAACATATTCGTCCGCTGAACTGCTGGCAAAGGACTCGAGCACGGCTGATAAGCAGCCGCCAATTCCGTTCTCCGCCATGCACTTCTTGTTCCTCTCGCTTTCCTTGCCCCACGCTTTAATCTTCCCCACCAGTTCTCGACACTTCTTCTCATCCAAACGCCGCGCTGCTCCCATGACTCTCTCGCGAATCCTCAAAACCTCGTAGGGAATCACAGGGATCCGCGGCGTTGGAATCCGCTCGATGCCATAAGACCTATTCTCCACGCACCAATCTTGGATCATCCGACGTAGTGCATGGTTCGGAATCTGGTCAAAACTCATGAGTTCCTGATTAGTCACCGGACACGTACTGTTGCCAGTCTCGATCCACTTCTCGATGCTCGACCTGTCGTACGTCATTCCTGTCGGAAGTGTCACCGGATCTTTCATCAAGTCGAGGGAAATCGGGCACCGGAAATGCGTCGGAATCGCGATCTCGTCCACGTCCATGTCCAAATTACAAAATTGCTTCTTGTTTTCGGTCTTACGGCCGGCCTTCCTTCTTCTCCAAGAAATGATCATTGTTTGTTGCTTCGAATTAATGGAAAAATCACAAATGTATGAGAATTTGCTTTGAGTATTTGTGTTGTTTTGGTTGTGAGGAATGTGGGAATTTGATGAGCTTATATATTTGTATACGCATACGCGGGGTCAAAACTCAAAGGCGGAGCGGGACTATTATTGTAATTATTGTAATGTTGCGAATTTGAATGTTGACCGTTGAGTTGAATCGAATGATTAAAAATTGTATAAAGGAAACAGGTGGGGGGTGTGGATTGGGTGGTAGGAATGGGGTGTGGGTCCAGTCGCCATTTGTATAGTTTGTAATTTTTGTTTTTTTGACCGAAGTATAGTTTGTATTTAAGTCGGCAGAAGATTGCCCAGCTGTTTTGAGCTCTGCTGGTGCTAGGGTTTTGGTCAAATGTCCATTAGTCGGTGCTTGGACTCGGACCCAAACTCTACAGTTGGTCTCATTGATCCACTTAATTTTTTAAATTTTTTTTAGTTGTTCGTAAACACGCAAATGAGAAATCGTACTTATTTTTTTCAATTTTTTTTGCCGTTAATAAACACATGAATGGAAATTATATCTTGTAACAACTCTTTCCTAATTTTATGATTTTATTGATTTGAAAAAGGTAAATTAGCGAATATGCCCGTAGAGACGAGGATGTTGACTTTCGTTGACCAACATATAGTGAGATGTACGAAGCATTCTTTTAGCGTATCCTTGTACTACTCGTCGCTACGAACGTATAGGTGTAAGCGGAATCAAATTTGGAGTTACGTTGGAGATTCTACAGACTTACAAAGGGCATTTTAGTATATTCATAATTTCAAATATTTTCTATTATATATCATATTTTTAGTTTTTTTACTTTTAAAATTTTATTTGGTGGGACCTGTACCCCACTTCCTTCCCTTACTTCCACGTGGTAGTTCATCCCCTACATTTTTGGGACTCCCTTAAACCCTCCCTGTCTATCTCACTTGATCTCTCCTCTCTCTCACCTCACTTTAGCTCTCATCTCAAAACTTTCTTGCCCTCTGTGTAAACAAGAGCAATGAGCACCACCAGCACTCGCTATATTCTCGGGCGAACTCCACAAGAACTACTAAACCACACCAGATCATCAATATTTGTCCATCTCTGTGTCTTGTCCTACATCTCTATCCCTCAACCTCTTTGTTGTGCCTCTCTCATCTCTGCAAACATGGTACAGGCCTAGATTACCACCGCCATTTTCCATGGAGGATGACGACCGAACCACCACTTCCACGTTATCCTCTCACTTGAAACCTAGCCTAGGCCCTAGGTTTAGCCCTATAAATTCGAACGACATAACTCTCAGATCATGGAGCTCCATCATAATGGAGATTTCCCGGCGTGGATCTTATAGTTTTCAGTGAAGGTGAGTGCTGAAAATGCTTCGAATGATCTCCTCTCATCATTTGAATTGACTTTTATAGTTGATGAGTGAGTTTCGGACTAGTTTTATACAAGGTTCTAAAAAATGCTAGGCGCTAGTTGGGCAGCGGGCTGACGCCTAGGCGGATTTAGGTAAATTTCTTGTATATCTTGTAAATAAATGTATATTGATACTTACAAAAAATTAAGTATAAATTACACTTTCATACCTCAGGTTTGAGGTCTATTTCAATTCCTTACAACATCTTTAAAACATTTCACTTTCATACTTTAAGTACTATTTTATTTCAAAATAATACCTCTGTTACATTTTCCATCCATTGATCTGTTAAATGCTGACGTGGCTGCCACATATATGTCACGTGGCTGCCAAATGTCTGCCACGTGGCAAATAAAAATATTTTTTTAAAAAAAAAAACTGAATTTTCTCAAAAAAAAAAAAAAAACAAAAATTGAAATAGGCCCCATCCCATCTCCCTGTAACCACCCCCCACAAACCCATAACCCTTTCTCCCCACCCACACCCGCCCAGTTCGTCTTCCCCCTTCCTGAGCCAGAACCCTGACCCTCCTTCCGCCTATACCCCCCACGGCGCGACCCACCTCGACGTCTCCCCCCCCCCCGCTACCTCACCCTGCTTCACCCCCCCCCCACCACGACCTCACCCTCTTTCCCCCCTCCCCCCCCCAGAGACCTCACCTTGCTTCCCCCTTCGGCGACCTAACTCCCTGCGTCCGACCTCACCCAGAACCCAAATCCAGACCCTGGCGACCCACCTCGCCCAGAACCCGACCCCTACCCTCCTCTCATCTGCAACACCCACCCTCTTCTCCTTTTCCCATCCGTGCCTTGCTCGTCCTCAAGTCGATCGGCTCCGACAACGAGGTATGCATTTAATTTTATCCTTCAAATTTTGAATTTTTTTGGTGCTTAGTTGGTGGTGGTCTGGATGGAGTTAGGTTTGCTAAGGGTGAGTAGGGTTGCAAATGAGAGAATGGAGGGTAGGGGTGAAGAAGAGAAAGGGCTCGGGGAAGGTGGGGGTTTGCTGGGTTTCTTGATAAGAGGGGAGGTGAAGAGAGTGGAGGAGAAGGAGGTGGGTTGGGGGGGGGGGTGGTGGGGGGAGAGGGTTTAAGGTTTCTGGGTTTGTTTGCTGGGGTGGGGGGTTGCGGGGAGCTAGGTTTCAGTTTTTTTTTTTTTAAGATTCAGGTGGTTTTGTTTTAAATTAAAAATTTATTATTTTTGTCACGTGGTGTGTCATGTTGGCAGCCACGTCAGCACTTAATAGATCAATGGATGAAAATGTAACGAAGGTATTATTTTGAAATAAAATAGTACTTAAGGTATGAAATTGAAATGTTTCGAAGATGTTGTAAGGAATTAAAATAGATACCCCAAACCTGAGGTATGAAAGTGTAATTTACCCAAAAATTAAACTTGTATGAGATTCATGGATAATATAATAAAATAATAATAAAATGCAAAAAGAGTATCCAACAAGTCCAAAATTAAAAAACACATTAAGCATATATGTCATAGAACCATAGTGAGGAGTATTGTAGGATGATACATGTACAATAAACAATTTAAAACCACATAAAATGCAAAATAGGAGGAAAATAAGGAAATATTGTAATGTAGATAGAATTTTTTTTTTAATTTCAAAAAAAAATTAAAAAAATTAAAAAAAAAAAACCACCCTCCTAGCTGCTTGGCACCGCCTAGTCTACCTAGGCGGCCGCCTAGAGCCCAACCAATTTTTCTAATCGATTAGTAAGAAAACATCTTGGGTCACCACCGCCCAGCGCCTAGGCCTTTTTTTAGAACATTGGTTTTATGACAGAAACAACGAGGGGGAAATTTCTCCCCAGATTACGATGAGAACTATGGCCATCAGGCCACATTCATGTTATTTTTTCAATTAACGCCGACCCTGCCTCAACCTTAAATTGGTATAGTTCTGTTCATCACATTCCTAACTTTTATTTGGTTCTTGAATAAATGATTTTGGCTGATAAATGAGCTCAAACGGAACTTTGAAAATTGGATGAAAACCTGCAAGTATGCAGACCTTCGTAAGCAAGGTGAGCACTAATGTACTCGCAGGCACGTGGGCGCGCGTGGGGAAGCCATAACGAGTGGTAAGTGGTGGCCAGTGCAGCCACCTTGTGGCGGTGCGTAGAGGAACCCAAAGTCCCTCCTTACATTTCTCGACATGCCGAATCCGAGTCTGCCTTTTGTTTTTTGAAATTCGATCAATTTAAAATAGTTCCTTTATTAGCCATACTTTGTAAGAATATGTGAATTTAAGTTAGTACGTTATATATTTACGTAAATGGTTTTTTGCTTTTTGTCTTTTGTTTTTTTTATTTTTTATTTTTGTAGAGACGGATTAGGCGAGATTAGCTCTTCGTCAACAGTCGCATGCGAGGCACCAACCCTCTCGTAAAGGAGAAAGGACTGTTGCACATAGAAAACCCCCATCAGTCCCCCCTCTACAAGATGTTATTAATAATAAGAAGAAAAAAAGGAAAAGTAAAACAAGCGGGGGGACTAGGCCAATACCCACTAAAAACAATTAACGAAAATGCTATGGACTAGTTAAAGATTGCTTAGCTTTAGTCACCTGAAATTGATTTCTCGTAATTCTGCTGCTCATATTTCATTCCCGAAATCCTCTTCCATAGCAACAATTTGCTCCTCATGAGCTCGAACGGAAAAATGGAAGCCCGACACAGTCTCTTCTATAAGACGCATCAGCAAAATTGAGTACCAAGTCCCACCACGTAAAGCTACTATTCATTGCACCAAAATTAGCAAAAGCATCAACCAAACAATTCCCTTCCCTGAAAATATGTGAAAAACGCAAATGTAAGCGAGCAATATGCCATAAACAATTTGCCTAAGAAACTTTAAGAAACCATGGAACATCCATGGAGTGAGCTGATAGTAGGTTGATGATATGCATAGAATATGTCTCTAACCAAATGTTATGCCATTCTTTATCCCATGCAATCTGAATTGCCTCGATGACAGCCACAATCTCTGCAACAACTGCACTTGGATATGAAGACGAGGAGGTAAATGCTCCTAAAAAAGACCACTGGAGTCACGAAAAGCACCACCACTACCCACCTGACCATCCACCCAACATGAGGCAAATGCCAAAACACAGGCACAAAACTAAGAGCATCCAAAAAAAGGGATGAAATTCTTAACATGGAGAATATGGGAATAGATACACAACCAGTGAAAGAAGAAAAACAAATAGAAGTTGATTCCCTCCAATGTCGTAAAGGACAATGTTGGGACTCGACAATACTAAAACTTTTGTTCTCAAACCTGGTCTTGTTCCTTTCGTGCCAAAGCCAACAAAAGAAACTGCAAATAACTAAGAACCAAAGTTTCCGAACAGATGTGGGGAAATATGAGACCAAAGAACCATAAAACAATATATTTAATGCATTGCCAAGGACCATAAGCCTTGCCAAAAAGAATGAAAATCCATTTCCATAAAGCATCTATTTGAGGACAATGCAGAAGAAGATGATCATAAGATTCCCTAGCAATAATCTTCGATGCCCGCAATAATCTTATATGTCCGCAAGGGGGGTTTGACTCGACAATATGATTTGTGAGTGGATCTTTACTTTTAAATGTTAAATATTTATTTAGTTTCCAT